TACAGTCTTAAAATCTTGCTATGGGCTGCAATTTCTTGGCAATTCTTTTAATATTCTTGGATGAGATTATCGGGCCCGTTTGCCCTTGCTGTTTGGTTTGCTTCTACCTCGATTGGTGTGTCTCCTCCTCTTCCCTTTTCTGCTCCTTATCCCTGACCTCTTTGCTTTTAAAGACGGGCAAGTATTTGTTTAGTTTGGGCTGCTGTTATCCTTGACCTCCTCCCCTCGTTTTGGTCCCCTTCTCTCTTTTTTCTTCCTTTTTTGACTTGCTTTTCTTTGGTTTTATTCCCTTTGCAGGTCCACCTACTTGACTTTTGCCTGTCTCCTTTTCCCTCTCTGACCTCTGGTGCTTTCTTCCCCTCCCTCTTCCCTCCCTTGCTTTCGCTTTCTTAATTACCCTCGTGCTTGCTTATCCCTGGTCTCAACCCGCCTTTTCCCCTTTCTTGGGTGCGGCTTCGGCTTCTGCGCTTTATTTAAAAATCCCGGCCCCCACCTTTAAACCCTAACTTCGTCCAACCCTTCCCCTTTCCTTTTTTGAAAGTCGCCTGAAATCAAAAACCTGTGCGTTATTTTGTTAATCCTTCCATTCGTTTGAACTGATAGCTCGCCTGAGCCAAGTACCCACCACCTCCTCTGGGCCCCCACCGACCAACTAAAGGCCCCCTCCAGTTCCCGCAGCCTCTACTCATAGATCATGTGTTCCAGACCCCTAATCATTTTTGTTGCCCTCTGCGGGACTCTCTATAATTTGGCCACCTCCTTTTTGTAGTGGGGAGACCAAAACTGGAAGCAATACTCCAGATGTGGCCTCACCAGTGCCGAGAAAAGGGGAATAATCACTTCCCTTGATCTGCTGGCAATGCTCCTACTAATGTAGCCCAATATGCTGTTAGCCTTCTTGGCAACAAAGGCACACTGTTGACTCATATCCAGCTTCTCATCCATTGTAATCTCCAGGTCCTTTTCTGCAGAACTGCTGCTGAGCCATTCGATCCCTAGTCTGTAGCGGTGCATTGGATTCTTCTGTCCTAAGTGCAGGACTCTGCACTTGTCCTTGTTAAACCTCTCATGAAGGAAGGGTGCAAACAGGCAAGACCTGAAGAGAAGGAAAAAAACCTAACGAATGATGATGGATACAGCCTAAAATACACTAAAACCCCTTCAAAAGCAGTGGGACGCGGTTCTTGAATGCAGCAAACATTCATGCTCAGCAATCAGTATTATTCATTTTTGTACCATGAAACATTTTACTTTAAGTACCAAATGCCTGGGCGAGTGTAGCTATTGCTGGGACCAGGAATGGGCTGCTCGAAGCCTGATTGATTCATTGGAGCATTGAAAGTGGCAGAGACTCGGTTTGGAGCTGCCTCCACCACCTCTGCAATCTCTCCACCAGCCACAGCACCCTAACAAAGGTGCCCCCACACTAGCAAAAAAAAAGTTGGGATTTTATCCCCTTAAACTAACGTGGTAACATCCGAGTGTTTCCCTGAACTAACTTCCCTGGGAGAACTACAAACAGCATCTGCAGTACCTGGAGTTCACCTCAGCTGGTAGCTAACGTGGTAAAAACCCTAGTGAAAACTAGGCCTCAGCATCCTGCCCCAGCTCCTTGATGAGTAAAGCCTCTTCCCTAACTAGAGGGGAGGCTACCCATTGCAGGGGGGAGTTCCCATAGGCGGCTGCCTGCCTCCATGAGCAACATTTCAGAGGCTTTTCTTAATTGCTGCTGCAGGTGAGAGGAAGTCCGTTACAAGCTGGCTGGCAAATTTTAGATCACACTTTTCCTTGCCAGCCCTGCTCTTGATGCAGGATGGCTCAGGCCAATACTAGGATGCAAGGGGCGTGATGTGCAAGCAGTATAGGACACTAGGTGTTCAGGCACATGTGTTGGTTTGGGCAGAGGTAACTGGGCACCACAGTGCTACATGGTGTCTGGCTGCAGCAGTAAGGGTAGCTACAAGCAATGCCCGTCATGTTGTCCAATAGGTGTCAAAAGCCACTGGCCAGAGATAGTGTGGGTCAATAACAGGCTGAGGAGGAGAGCGAGTGAGGGCCTAGGTGCAAGCCCCTGCACAAGGAGACAAGAGCATGTGTGAGAATGAAGGTACTTTTCTGAGTGAGGCCACAGGAGAATGATAGCACAAGGGAGGGGGTAGGCTGCGTACATGGAACGAAGGCAGAACTAAACTGTAATGTCACCCAGAAAAACGAGAACACTCAGGGTCGCTGACACCAAGCATTAAAGAACAAAACCACGCTTTTATAAAATAAACCCACACTAAATGTAGGGTACATTTGGTGCCTGATGTTAAGCCCTGAGGGCACTCTATGTTTCCCAAGCTTTTCTCGACCACGACGAGAGCGGGAAAGGTTATACATAAAAACAGCTTCTTCTCACAGTTCCAGGAACTGGGCATATCAGAAAAATAGTGACTATCTCAAGTTGTATGATGAAAGTGACCAGAGGTGGCCCTACAAAAAGGTAGTGCTCTGCATATACAGTTGATAGCTGGACATGAAAGTTACAAATGCACATTTTTGTGTGCAAATGATGATAAAGATTTGAGCCTCCGAGCCCTTCATCTAGGGAGATTACGCAGCATGTGTGCAGTGAGGACACAGATGCACTTTCATGAGTTTTATTGCCACCTTATCTCAGTTCTACATTACTTATTCGCATAGCCAAGCAGGATGGCTATTTCAGAGGTAAGGCAAGACCTACACCAAGCTGTAGTCCAGAATGTGGAAAGCTAGGAGGGGCCCTAGATAGCTATTAATTAGCACATGAACCTGTTTGCTGCCATTCCTCATCTCTTGCGCTACCTTGTCTCTACTGCTCTGAGCTTCCCCACCCACTACGGGAATCCTACAACCCCAGTGGGGATCTGCAGCAATTGGAATGAGGACCCTCAAAGCAAGAAAACCAGAAAGAGCTGTGCAGGATTCCTCCGAGCCGGCTTGACAACATTCTACCATCGCTCCATTCTGCTCTTGCCACCTCAGTGGAACCGCTGTTGTCTCGAAACTGCCGTTCCAGCCAGCAGCACTGCTGCCCCTCACAATAGTTGGTGTTTCTCTTAACTCCATAGCACTAGGATCAAGTGATTACGCAACCATCACATTTGAAAATAATTAAAAGGACGTTTCTACACCTCCTGCTTGAAGAGAAAGTTTAAAACGACCAGCAAGTAACCCAGAGGCTCAGGAACCAGAAGGCAAAAATACAAAGAACCCCAACCTGAGATTTTGAAATAATGCTTTAAGCCAGTCCCAACTGGAGTGCTTGGGGGGGAAGCAGTATTGAGACAGCACTAGCCAGGCCTGTCTCACTCCCCATTCACTTACAAAAGGGATGGATCTGGCATCTGCACTCCATTCCACTGGTCAGATTAGTTTCAGGGTGTTTTATTCTACCCTCTGGATAGCCCTGCCTCACCAACCACTATTAAAGCAGAAGTTCCCTGAGGGAAAATCTCTCAACCCAGCAATCTAATCCTGTGGTTTTGATTTCATTTTTTGCAAGCCACTTCTTCAGAGACATCAGTACAGAGGAGGCTGTGCGGACCATCATCCAGGCATTGTGGCTCTGCAGAGCTCCTGGGGCAGCCTAAAACCAAGTAAGAGCACAGAATCTCATGCTGAAGTCGGTATGTTACAAAAACAGGTGTTAATTCATGTTTGTGAAGGGCTGGCCGTCACACCAGAGGTGTGTTTGGAGAGAGTGGAGAAGCTGCATGTGTGTGCATGCTCACATAAAAATGATACACTGATTTCTACTCTCCTGACTCCCCACAGGTATTTTGCCTCTAAATTGACATTAAAAGCTACAACTCTTTGCTGTTGCTACACTGAGTTAGGGGTCACTGGTTCTCATGTGTCTTGTAGCACCTAAAACTAAACTTGTAGCCTCAAGAGAGGTCTAAGCAAGAGGACCAACCCATCCGTCCAAGTCAACCCTGGGAGAGTATTTGGGACTAAACACTGGATTGTAGTGATGCTTTAGAGTCCATAGTCTTGAAGGAGGCAGCCACCCCATCACCAAGGCAGCCTGCCTTCCGTTAGGTTCCCCCCCACCCTCCACCTCTGCCCCCAAATGCCACTAAGGGTCAGTGACCCACCTCTAATCTAAGAGTTCTATTCCCACAGCCCTTTGATTAGACTGGCAAGTCGGTTCAGTGCCAGATTTTTCCACAGCACAACATTCTAGATGCACAGACAGTAGCAACTCCGTACCTGCGAGAAGTTTGGAGCCACCAGCTTTTTGAACCCAGCACTGTCCAACATTCAGGTGTCTGGAGGCAGCTGGTGGAGCCTCCATTTACTCAAGATCCTTGACAGTGAGAATTTGAAACTCAGCTTTTTTATTAAAGATTTGGAGAATATACAGAAACACTGGAACAATCACGGTAGCTGGCAGGTTCTTAGGGGCTGACCCCCAACACTTAAACAGATTTCAGATAAAACATTCTGTACAAGGAGCAAGCGTCACACAATGCACGTAACTTACAAGACATTCATTAGGAATTACACCAGACCCGTTTAAGTCTGACTTAGGTCAATAGTTGCCTGCTTAACTGGGAGTTTTAACAGCTTATGCTAGGACAGAACTGGGATTCAGTGAGGTTGTAGAAGAACATACAAGAAAGAATTAATAGTTGTCCTTGAACTCAAAATTACTCTACTTGATCAAGGGGGCTCAATTCTATGCCTTGAGTTAGCTGGAGGTGGAAAGTGGAGTAGGCTGGTAGGGATGGGAAAGGAGGAATATTTTGTCCTGTTAATACATCAGAGAACAAAACTGCATATCCACGCCCCGCCCCCCAAGATCTCCAAGGAGCTGTGAAAAAACTGTTGAGTCAGTTTTGAGGAGGTAAAACATTGCATGTGTTGGCACCATTTCAGAGAGATGGGGGTCCTATATTTTATCAGTGATAAGCACCAGAGGTAGGCTTGAACATAGGAAGCATATTATGATGCAGTGAACTAGCCCTTGATTTGGGTTGACTAGTAACCTGCTTTTAGCTTTTAAGACTGGGAAGTTAGGTATGGCAGAGGGTAGAAAAGAGAGTCTGCCTCCTTCTTAGAGGACGGATATCTTTAATAGAGGCCAGAACTCAATATGAATGTTAAATAAACTTGGCAATTCCTGTAGTTACATGTCTAATTTTCCTCTTCCTTGCAAGGAGGAAGGCTCTCTGGTGTGGTGACAGCATCTCTCACATATACTATATACACCAACAGCCTTGTGCATCAGATTTGTTCTGGTATCATTTACATTAGCCCTAGTTTAAAGAAATTGTTTTCTGGAGCAAGTACATTTATGGGCCATTTCCCTTTTCAAGGCCATCTCTGGAATAATCAGAGCATCTCTCAGACTCAAGTAGTCTTCAGAACAGTGAAGGATTTGGGTCCGTTAATAGGCATAAAAGCTACAGAACTCCAGTGAGGCTAAAGGAAGGCATGTTCTTTCTTGGAAGGATCAGCTCAGTGTACCAGTCTGTCTGGTTTTCAGGGAGATGGAGAGTGGGATGATAATGGGGGCACTGGGAGAGCCTCAAATCCTCCTTAGCACAAGAGGAATAGTACAGATGAACGAATGCAGTTTCATGCACCAAGACTTCAGAGGGGTTGTTGGGAGGCCACTGGATCCTCAGTATTCAATTCTGCTCCAATAGAACATGGTGCAGATAAGAACCCAGAACTATAAAGAAAAAATGGCCGTTAGATAATGAAGAAAGCAGATTTACCAACCAAAAACAAAAACAAAACAAAAACCACACACCACACTCCGACAATCCCATTGTCAGATGACGACATTTCATCCTTTCAGTGGATCAAGTCAGGGGTTTCCATCACCTAATCCACCCCTGGTAGCCACAGAAGGTTGCTGTCTTCACACAGGAGCCAACTCTTCAATACAACAGTTGAGCTGGAGCAGGGCAAGCCATCTGCAGCTAACAACTCTGCAGTTAAGCATTTTGTTCCACAGCCTATGTATTGATTTCAGTCTAGAGGTTGCTCTTGAACTTTTTGCCATGACTATTTATTTTTTAGGTGACTTTCTCTCATCATGAATAGCAAATACTCCAAGTCGTGTATTTTTTCTGCTCTCATGACTCAAGCCGAAAGAGCTTTGAAATGGCCACATGAACACTTCCAGCAAGAGTAATTGACACTTTTCTGTGAACAGGACTTGTGAGCTGCACAAATGCTGGCAAAGAGCAAATAAGAGGAGTGGTGAATACCCAAGTGAACATCTGTTTGCATTAACAGCAGCAACAGTGGCAACATTCATCAGCTACCTGTAGGCTAAGGTTGGGGAGATCATACTTATTAGCACACTTAACTACTTTCGCTTTGTGGGCCATGGGATCAGTCCACTGACAGAGGCTTTTGATTTGCAGAGTTAAGAGTTAGCTATACAGTACAGAGATTTTATTCTGAACATCAGCAGGGTGCACTTATGGGGATTAGGCACAGTTGCCATTAATTTCTCAGCATGTGGAGGTCAGATCAGAACACAGCCTTACTTAATGGAACAGAGCTAAAGCAGCTTAATCTGGAGACAGTCCTTCAAGACAGCCCACATCCTTTACCCTCCCCACCCGCAAGTGTGTTTCCAACTCAGAATGGCCCTACAGTTGGATGGGGAGCTGCTTGTTCTCCAGGGATCAGTCCTTCCACTAGTGCCAATCCCCATTTCCCCTCAGGTTGAATAGAGGTGGGGGGCTGGGGGGAAAGAAGAGCAGATATTAAGTACTCACAGTCCAGCAGAGAATGGCAAAGCCAAACCAGGCAACACCCCAAGCATGTCTGTTCATTGGACCAGAGATAATGTCATAGCAACCCTGTGGGAACAGAGCCAATAAGCAGCAAATCAAGACCAGAGCATGAGCTTTGAGCAACTATGTTACAAGCTCAGCTCTCTTGGAGAGAGGTCCGGTTCTCATTCTCCAGGAACCACAAGCACACTGAACTAGCTAGTTTGCATGACATTAACAAGTCAGCTAGAACAGGCTTTGGTTGCAATGCAACCATCATGGTCAGAATGTTCAACTTGGTCTTAGGAGATAGCTCACAGTTGGCATCCCAGCCTATGGCTCTGCCAACTCCCTGATAGATGAGGAAGAAATAGATCCAGATTATGGCTTTATATTCCCTCTAGAAACAGATCCTCTCAAATACTTCAGGCCAACTTACTGTATTAATTATGCCTTTCACTCCAAATCACCAGGAGAACATGAGCTTGCCAGTGGGAATATAGCTGAAGACGACAAACCTCTGCTAAATTGCTAGAAGCTATGGTCACCTGAACTTCCCCATAACCCCCATCTCCAAGCATGCATCTTATATGCAGTTAACAGTCTCTCCCGGTGAACAGGCTGCTCCACTGACTGGATTCTGACATTCTGGCTGCCCACCCCACTCCCAAAAAATTGAGCAAGGTACAGTTTACCATGCACTGCACCACGGCAGGTTGCTAGCATTTGGGAAAGGCACCAAAGAACCAACAGTCTCTTAAGCCACAGACATTGGCGACAGCTTCCCACATGGTGCCCAATTAACATGGCTTTGTCCCTTCCCACCTCTAGAATGGGGCCCTTTGGGTAGGTTAAGAGAGTTTAGTCACTACATATGGGATATCAGTCACCATTCAAATGACTGGTGCTCAGCCAACACTGGCTCCTATGCCAACCCTCTTGGTCATGAAACCAGCCACCCTTCGGGTACTCTTGTCCTGGGCTGGCATCTTGGACAAGTTCCCCTGGGACAGCACCCCTCTATTGTCTCCTGTATCTAGGGCCCTACCAAATTAATGGTCCATTTTGGTCAATTTGACGGTCAATTGTTTTAAAAGTTGCAAATTTCATGATTTCAGCAATTTCAATTGGAAATTTCACAGAGTTGTAATTGTAGGGGTCCTGACCCAAAAAGGAGTTGTGGGGAAGGGGGTCTCAAGGTTATTGTAGGGGGGTTGTGGTACTGCTACCCTTACTTCTGCGCTGCTACTGATGGCAGCGCTGCCTTCAGAGCTGGGCAGCTGGAGAGCGGCGGATGCGGGCGGGGAGCCCAGCTCTGAAGGCAGAGCTGCCGCCAGCAGCAGAGCAGAAGTAAGGATGGCCTGGGATGGGATTGCCACCTTTACTTCTGCGCTGCTTCTCTCCAGCTGCCCAGCTCTGAAGGCAGCGCAGAAGAAAGGGTGGCAATACCATGACCCCCTAAAATAACCTTGTGACCGCCCTGCAACTCCCTTTTGGGTCAGGGCCCCCAATTGGAGATACTCTGGTCTCCCCCGTGACATCTGTATGGTACAGGGTAAAAACACAAAGACCAGATTTCATGGCTGTGAATTTGGTAAGGCCCTGCCTATGTCCCAAACATCAGGAATGCTCCTGTGCTACTCAGTCCTGGGCCAGTGATGTGGACAGGAAAACGACAGAAGTTTCTCCTCCTCAGAAAGCCTTTGGGAACTAGCAGATCTATCCTGTCCCCCTAGTATGTCATAGGCTTTCAATCCCCATTGTGTTTCATTTGGCATGCTGTTACACCATCCTCATGAGATAATCCAGGGCTTAATTTTTGCCGGGGCTAAGCCCCGGCAACTCTGGGCTTGGCAGTTCATAGCCCCAGCGCCTCTCGGCTTGCTGCATCAGTTATGAATGTAAAAACAATTGCTTAAGTCCTGGCACCTCTTTTCATTACAAGTTAAGTTTTGAGATAATCCCACTAGTCAACAAGAACCACAGTAAAAGTGGAGAGAGATTCTTGCCTTATTATTATAGTAGCCGGAGACACCCAGTTTGCAGCCATCCAAGTTGATTGGAATTCCTTGGACATCCATGACACAGCACTGGCGTGGCCAAGGGAACTCTGAGTCACTGTTCCTGCTCCTGAACACAGACACGTAGTTCTGCCAGTCAGAGGGGCCATTCACCCCACAGCACTGATTCTGGATTTGGGAGGGAGGAAGAGAGAGAGAGAGAATATTGAGATCCCCCTGTGACACAGGGATACAGGTATTATACAGAAGCTGATGTCCAGTCCTCAGGTTTCCCCCTCCCCCCACCCCATTCTCCCTCCTGCCCCCAGAACAGTGACTAGCTTGCGTCACGCCAGACAAACAGATTTATAGGAAAAAACAACATGTTGACAGATATTCCAGGGGCCTGAAGTGTCATTTTATGCACTAGCAGCATTGGGATGCTGGAGGTTAGACAGGGCCACATCTGAAGATTCCAACATTCTTTTATTACGGAAAGATTCTAGGGTGAGAGAAATTCCAGAGCTGTGTAATGTTTAGCTGCTATCTTTAGTTATATGAGCACTGGTCACCTGTAGCATGAGGCGGTCCCATGTCCTGGTGACACCTTCACTCATCCACTTATCATCATTGTTGGCTGGCTCTGGGTTCTGATACTTTTCCAACATTTGCTTCAGGAAGAGATTGGGTGTGAACTACAGGGCAAAGGAGATAAAGAGCACACGTGATGTTATTAGATTCCTAGATTCCAAGGCCAGAAGGGACCACTGTCATCATCTAGTTTGACCTCCTGCAGAACACAGGCCATAGAACTTCCAAAAATAATTCCCAGAGCCAATCTTTCAGAAAAACATTGACTAGCTTCAACTTCCCACTGTTGGATCGTGTTATACCTTTCTCTGCTAGATTGAAGAGCCCATTAAATATTTGTTCTCCATATAGATACTTCTAGAATGTAATCAAGTCATCCTTTAACCTTTTCTTTGTTAAGCTAAATAGACTGAGCTCCTTGAATCTATCACTATAAAACCATGTTTTCTAATCCTTAAATCATTCTCTTGGTTCTTTTCTCTGAGTCCTCTCCAATTTATCAACATCCTTCTTGAATTGTGGGCACCAGAACTGCACACAGTTCCAGTGGTCACACCAGTGCCAAATACAGAGGTAAAATAGCCTTTCTACTCCTACTCGCCGTGCCCCTGTTTATGCACTCCAGGACAGCATTAGCCCTTTTAGTCAGTCACACTCGGAGCTCATGTCCAGCTGATCATCCACCGTTACCTACAAATCCTTCTCAGATTCCCTGCTTCCCAGGTTAGAGTCCTCCATCCTGTACGTATGGCCTATATTCTTTGTTCCTCAATAGATACATTTAGCCATATTAAAACTCATTGTCTGCTTGTGCCCATGTTATTAGATGCCTTTCTGAACTGAGTAGGTTTTCTGCTTCATTAGGAGTAGACTACCAGCAAACACAGTTTTGGACAACCAGGTTAGTTTGGAAGTCTTCCTCCTCCAACTGGAGATACTAGGAGTTAGAGAACAGGACTCTGGGAGCATCAGAAAACCCACAGATTCCAGAGTTTGACAGCTGAACATGTCCTCAGAAGGGTTTGCCTGGGAGGAGGCAAGGGAAGAAGCTGTTTGTTAGTGTCTGGAGGTTTGTTTGGAGTTAAGCACTGCACATACAGCTGTTGGAAAAAGTTGTAAGAACCTACATGGGTCTCTCCCCTACACTAGTAATGCTCAAATGGTAGAACCAGAGGTCTTCCATCATTAAACACCTACAATAGCATTGTCAATCTGCATCTGAAAAACGTGTCAAGGTTCAGTAGCCTCAGTTAATGGACAGACTCAGTTTGCATAAAGAAAGTCTTATTTCCTTGACCCCAAGTTATGGAATTACACATGCCTCTAGGAGACTAGACCATCTCTTCAGTGGTTCAGCAGTATCCATTACTGTCCAGTCTCTAGCCAGCCCTCCCCAGGTTTCCACTCTGCCCTAGCTGCATTGTATGCTTAGAGCTTTGGCATTCTGTGGACATGTTCAAACACCCTGCCTCCATCCTACTCTTGAGAGAACATACATGGGAAACCACCACTCACAAAATCTCGATGAGTTGCTGCTGTGATGCAAGAAGCCACTTCAAATCCATATGTGACCAACATCAGAATGATATACTGCAAAAGAATCAGAGCAGAAGGTAGTTAGCTCTCCAACCTGGGTCTATTCTCACAACATGCTGCATTTCAAAGTGTGGTGTTACAAGATCAGGTTCAAGGCGTTTTGGAGCAGGGTTCCTTCCCCATCCGACACGGTGAGCACTAACCTCCACCCATACCCTACCTGAACAACGCTGAGACTCAAAATTAAGTTCCTCCACCTTGAGAGTCCCATTCATCCAAGTTCTACCCTGTCATTAACAGATACATTCCATAATCTGGATTTAAGGGAAGCCCTGTCATTAGTTCATGATTGTCTTATCCCCTGGACCATAAGGGTTCATATTCTCATTTTATTTGTATTCTGCCTAATGGCACTCCGACTGTCAATAGTGGTGTCTTCTCCTTCTTAGGAAGCAGCTACATTCTTTGCCACACTGATATCTTAAGAGTGCAAATTTGAGGTTCATTTCAGGGTGTAGAAACTTCGTTATGTTAACAGTCTTAATTTGTTTCACAGAATTTCTGGATTGCTCTTTATGCTGTAGGCACAGACCAGACTTCTCTACGCTGCCTCTTATTAGAGCTTCTGAAGAAGTAGATAAGAAGCTGCATAATGATCTGTTGACTAAGCATCTGAACACCATTTTAGCATTGGCCATGGCTTGTCCAACAACTCCAAGACACCTCCCAACCGTATAGAGATGATGGAAGGCAAAGTTTCCTCGCAGCAGTGATTCAGTCTTACTTTGATGAAGTTCAGTAGCCTAGGTAGAGGTATCAATATTTTATGCCCCCCAGCAGCAAAGAAATGAGGACCCAAGCTTGTGTGGTCAATAGGAATTTACGCTGTATGACCATGGCAAATATATTGTTCAGGATTCTGCTGGAGACTTGGAAACCAATCAAGGCATTTGTACCACACCTGTAGCCACATGCTGCCTGTATTAAGGTATCCCCAGGAATGATGTGTGACTGTATGGTCTAAAACCCCAGACAACTTTAATACAGCTACAGTCCTTGCACTGCAATGTTTGCCTCCTCTCGACCTGGGGACTGGTACTGCAGCCCACCACAAGACTACCGTTTTGATTCCTATGCCCCCAGCTTCTCTCTCAAAGCAACCCAGATAATGGGGGAAGGGAAGCCTGTTGTGATATGAACCCCCTACTGGGCTCAGTTCAGTTAATAAGGAGCCATTTCCTTCCTTTTCCCTATTGGAAAATTACTCTCCCCCCCCCACCCACCCCAATAAAACAAAGCTGAGGTAGCAAGTGCCAACTTGTTCTGAAGGGGACAATGTTCAGTCCTCCTGGTCAGTTGGGGTCATGGGTTAGAGTTGTGGCTCAGTTACCATGGAAATAGTCTCCCACACTCATGTCCCTCTTCCTGGTACAGATTCCATCTGTTCCTGGACAATGCGGCTGTCCTAGGTGCCAAAGAGGAAATGGGTGGCCCTTTAGGCACATTTGGCCCTAATGCTATTTAAGGCCTGGAAAATTACAACTCAAATCTTGAAGTTAGCAGTGCTCAACAGCTGGTGAGCACAAGGAGCAGAAGACTGGGATAACATGATCTTAGTCTGTTAACGACCTGCGGACTAATATCACTCCACTTACCACCAGCAGCATTGTGCGGTGTGACTTAATGACTCCAATGATGCCCAGGACAGACAGATTAAAGAGAGCAAAGCCAACGAAGATGCCAATCCAGGCTGCACCATAGATGTCATCATTATTGGTGGCTTCCAGCAGAGGGTACAGAGTCTGCTGATCCGACACGAAGAAGATGCACTCTGCCGTCAGTGCAATGCCACACATCTGAGAACCAGAAGTCAGACTCCCATCAGGTCAGCCCAAAGCAGTACCACAGCTATGTTCAAGGAGAGCTTCTATTAATCACGTTCCTCTTCCTGCCCCACACACAAGGCACAAGCTTCCCAGTGAGACCACTCCCTCCCCACAGGCCCACAATCCATTGCTTTCTGTCCTCTCATGAGAATTGTAAACATAAAACCCACTGAGCATGGGCCCTCTCTCTTCCCCAGAGCAGCACAGCTCATATCAACTGGGCTGGTCTTAAAACAAGATTTGGAGCATTCCTTTAAGAATGGCATTAACATAACCCTTCCCGTCATTGTGGGAAGGAGCTGGGCTGGAAAGAGGAGTTCAGGAACCAGGGCTCTTCCCTCCAGAGCCCCCGGCACAAAAGCTTGTTCTTCTAGATGTGCTACTGCTGCCCCTACTTCCTACCAGTCCATGTACCCTCACCCTCCATCCCTTACTGAATTCGTTTGCTTGCATGACTCAGCAGGGACCTTGACCTCTCACCTAGCGTTGCATTTATTTTATTTAGACTGAAGTGGTAACATGAAGAATGACCCCATTGCTGGGCCAAGCCTTTTATTACAGTGCATCTGATGAGGAGTGACGAGCCCCTGAAGAAACCATCTCTCCACCCTTGCCCCTCACAGCCCCAGATCACTTACCCCAATAATCACATTGCCGAGAATTAGTAGGCCTTGGAAAAAGCGCACTCCATTATCGCCTTTTGCCATCTTCAGCTCCTCATGCAACCTGAAAGGCGGAGAAAAGTGTTCAGGACACACAGGTCTCACAGGCTTATTCTAGAAATGGACATTATCCTTGAGGAAAGCCCCCCCCCCCCCTGCCACACACACACTTCTTCACAGGCTTCCAGTTTTAGAAGGGAAGGGTCAGTGCTGGTAAGAGAGTTTTCCTGTTGGATGGCTGGGGGAGCCCAGACTACTAAGTGGCAGGGCGATCAGCAATATTTGTATGGCTGCTGGAGATGGTTTGAGCCTTGCCTACACTAGGATTTTTACCCACCAGCTGGCAGCACTACAGTGCGAACCTGTAGTATAAGCACTATCATGCTGATGCAGCTCCATCATGGCTACAGTCCCTGCGTATACCATGAAAGACAAGGCAAAGTGGAGTTAAATAGTTGGATGTACCCTACACACTTCTTCACTGAAGAGGTCTGCTCCATCCCAGACAGCTATTCACCCTGTAACCTCTTCCCCCCCCATTGCACTATATGAGCCACAGTTTTGTGGTGGCCATTTCCACTTTGTTCATAAACACCAAGCGTGCTCATTTTCCTATAGAGCTTCGGGTCCAGGTCAGAGATATCTGGTTCATTTGCATGCCAGCAAGTCACAGCAGTCTAGTCTAGGGCTTTGGTCTATAGCTAGTATATACTTCTTTCTTCCCAACTCATACCTACTGGTGAGATCATGGGCTCCTTCTCCAACTGTGTACTTCAGGCTCTGGCTTCGGTCTCTGAAGCAGTGCTGCTTCCTTTGGTTTCCACAGCAGACAACCTGAGGCAAATCTTACCCAGTGTCTTTCTAGTGAGAGACACACTCAGGTTGGGCACTGAAGCTACCCTAAAGCACTCCTTACAGAGAGGGCATGAGGGAGGAAGTTGAGCCACTCACAGCTGGAGCATGGGATACTAGCGGAGTAGCATTCCAGCTACATTCTCGAAAACGCTCCCCCCTACTTTCTAGTCCCAGGCACTCCACATGGAATTCACTCTCCTCCAGTGAGGGGCATGGATACACCCTCCACAGGGTCAAGAACCCTGGAAAAAAAGACAAATCCAGATTCTTGATCTGATGGGAAGGTGATGAAAACCCCTCCTCCAAGAGGAACTGAGTGGAAAAAAAAAAACAGCTGTGATTGTGGGGAGCTGCACAAAACCTGAACTGTCAACAGAAGCCTAAATTAGGCCTCATCTGTACCAGCTTCTATACCAACGGGACAGTGGAACGATTACAGGCTGATAAGGTAACAAGTCCGCTTCTGGAATGTCTACACTAGCAATTTCTTATTCAAGTTTCCATACTGTTGCAAACCCCAGAGGGAAATTTTAGTAACGTTAGTATAGACAAAGCCATATGGTCAACTATTAGAGGGATGCAACATTACCCTGCACAGGAAAAGGTGAGCTGAGAAGAAATGTGCACCTGATGATCTCTTCCTCTTTACTAAGCCCTGGTCTCCCTTCTCACAGACTTCCTTAGGTCCTCTGAACTGCAGTGGGGCAACCAACACCAGAGAACTTCCTGTGGCTTGGACAAAGCATGGAGACACCAGTAGAAAGAAGAGTTACCTACACTTCCATTACTTCCCTCTCCAACAGCTTTTCTAAGGCTATTCTTACGCAAATGGCAAAAGACACAACCCCAGAATTCCATGCAGCTGCAGCAGTGGTGGAGTTGCTAGCTCAGAGAGCCCTCGGGCATTTTTACCACTTCTCTAGGGATGCTTCACTTGTAGTCCTACCGTAATGTAATTGGTTCATGTAGACACCCAAGCACAGTGCTGTAGACCTGCCAACCTCAAATTGGCCATAGTTCCTACAGTTTGGTTTAGCCACTGTCTGGTGTATGCACTCGCACATAAGAAAGATGAGGAGTTGTTGGGGAGCCTCAAGCTCTGAGGACAGTAGTTTTAGAAGAGCCTCTCACAGCCCTTTAGCCAGCCGCCTGTCAGGAGACAGCATGGAAGGGAAGGAAATCATCCTGACTAGAACCTGAACAGAGCTCTGCACACTTCATAGGAAAGAGCAGGTTCTAAGCTCAAAGGAGGCTTTTTCTGGACTAGATTGTTGTGGGTCAGGGCTGCTCTAGGGCATAGGTTGGACACTAGGAGTTAGGCCCAGATAGGGGCTTAAGTGTTGCAATTCTCAATGTTGCAGCACTGAAAGTTTAGGTCTCCTGCCACCAAGTGGTATCTCTAAGTTCTGGAGCAGGTACCCAGGCTCCCTGTACAATGGACAGGGATTCCTTAGGAGCCTCTCTCTATTGTAAGGATCCACAAAAGCAGCAGGGCTGAGCAGGGCACCACTTAAGCTAGCCAATGGGAAATGCTGAGGAGAGGGGTGTGGCCTAAACCTCACCCTTCTCAGGGAGTAAGGCACCCAGCCTGGGCCTGGGCGGGAAGCACCTTTCTCTGCTAGGGATCCTCAGATGTGGGGTCAGGTGCCAAAGATGCTTTTTGGAAGAAACTGGGCAGGGGCGGAGGGACGTTTGTGGCAGCTGCCCCCTTATAAGCTTTAGCCCAGTGGTTAGAGCACTCACCCAGGATGTGGGGAAGACAGGTTCAAGTCCCCTCTCTGCCTGAAGAGGTGTTCAAACTGGGGTCTCCCACCTCTCAGGTGAGTGCTCTAACCACTGAGCTGTGGGATATTCTGATGTCCGGGCTCCCTCAGTCTCTCCTGTTGAAGCTGTTCCACTGGGTGTGAAATAAGTATTAGACCGGAGAGGGAGTGCCCTAACCACTTGCCCTGAAAGGTGGGAAACCCTCGTTCAATTCCCTGCTCCACCTTAGGTAGAGGGGGGAATTAAACATGGGTCTCCCATATTGCCGGTGAGTGCTCTAACCACTGGACTAACAGTTATAAGAGAAGCTACTTCCTCTCCACCAGCCACGGTGAGTTTAAGGGTGCTCTGAGCACAGCCACTGGGTCAGGTCTGCAGGGGAATGCCTAGTTTGAGGATCTTGGCGTGTCTGAGATAGGCACCTAGACTGAGGTGGCTGGATGCACACTCTCTAGCAGAAACATAGGCAACTTGGAGACTTTAAAGCTGAAAATTCAGGCTCTTGGGTTCCTAAAGGCCCAATAGGGTTAGGCAGCAGCTGAGCAAGGGGGTTGAGGATTTCAGTGGTGTCTAAATGTGGGTGTAAAGTGCTTAAGTCCTCATGTGGAACTAGCCCCAGGTTATTGCAGACCAGCCAGTTATTTGAGGAATCTTACTTAGGATGTGTCCTCCCAGTCACACCCTCATTCTCCCCCCCTCCCTGTGAGCTAAATTCCTTCTGCAAACTTTGGATATGCTGCATGTTCTCAGAGCCTCCTCTGTTGGCCAGATCCTGCCTACCCCAAGCCTGCTACTACTGTGTGCACACTTTCCCAAGAGAGAAGGTCCAGGACTTCTACAGAAAGGAAGGGTCAGCTTTCAAAATACCTGCTTTTGGGAGGAGGGATTGGCCAGGTGGATATAGTCATCCAATACATCACCATCCATGTGCCAGTTGCCTAATGACAGATTCCTAGTAACATGGTAGAGCCACCAGCTCTTTACTAGGGAACATGAAATTACAAGGAGAGTAAAGGCTGAATACAATGAAATAAATGCAGAGACAAAGAAGGGAGAGAACCTTTACAAGAAGGTCTTATGATAACAGTAACATGGGGCAGAATTATGCAGTGCATAGAGCACCAGTAGGAGTCAGAAAGCCCTGAGTTCTATGCCCAAGTCCACCACCATCTCCTTGTGTGACACCAAGAAAGTTACTTCCTCAGTTTCCCCATGTTAAAGATGGGAAATAGTACTCCCCTACCTTTGAAGAATGCCTAGTGGAGACTGAAAACCATGCCAGGTGCCATGACAATGGCTGGATCTACTGGGCAACCAAAGAACCTCTCCTCCCAAACAGATGAGCTATGAATGTCCTGGGACTTCACACGTCTCAAATCAGCCCATTCTAAACACCTCAGAGCAGGGATGTGTTACAAATGAGAGCAACTAGCACAGCACTTGCTACATTAATGCATCTGCAGAGGCAGGAGAAGAAATCTTACATGTTAGCCTTGGTTGAATTGCACATGTATAAGTGTAGGGAACACCTCAAATCTACATGATCTAGAATAGTAGGAGGACCTTCTCCTCCCATACCTGACAAAGAGATGGGTGCCAGAACTCCTGTCTGTCTTTAGTCCAGGGTGTCCAGAGGAGGGGTTAAGTCTTTCATATAAAGCTAGTTTTTGTATTGGTTTCCAACCCAATGCAACTGACCTTCAGTCCAATTGAAAACAGGGGAAAGATAAGGTTTCACATAGGACCAAGTGCTTCATATATTAGGTCTATATGAAACAGAAGGAAAGCCAGGGGTTGGGTTTCCTCCCTCTCAGGGGAAATCTAGACCCTCAGCTTGAATGGAATCATTGTTGTCAGTTAAGTCAAATGATAAACTCTTGCTAGATTTCAGAGTAACCACATCAAGAGTATTACAGTTTAGGTATAACTGTTCAGTAGATACCACTTGCAACCCCTTTACTATCCCCCTTTCCACTCCCCCCCCCCTTCCCTTGCACCTTATGTTTTTTCTCAGCTGTCCCACCAGCCATCTCCAAAATCTGGGCATGACCCAGTTCCTCTCTCTCACTAGAGCATGTGGGACTAGGTAAGTTAGTCAGATTTCAAGTGTTGCAGCATCACTGCTCTTCAGCAAACTATGGGCAGGTCTGCACGCCATAAGCTGACCTAGGCATGGGCTTGGCCTGTTCTCCCTCCCCCTACACACAACAGGCTGTGATAGACCCATAAGGCCAGTGGGGGAAAGTGGAAAGGATGCACTGAGAACTAAGCCCATTAGTGTTTTGGGTGCCCAAACCAAGCCAGATTTTCAGAGGAACCAAGCAGCCACATCTCTCATCCAGCAGCAGCTCCAGCAAGTCCAGCTCAAGACAGTTTTTAGGCCTTCATTATACTTAACACCTGTGTTGGAAGTTGACAACCTGATCTATTCCCCATAAACTTGGCAGTGACATAGATATGGGCACTTGTGCTCAGCACTCTGGGCAACTCTAGCTGAACACCAATACTGACTACTACAGAAGAAACTGGGCATAGAGCCTTGCCTTCAGCAAGAGAAAAGTCTTTCATTCTGCAGGTGCTGCCACTTAAGTGGGTGTGTAAAGGGGTGTGTGTCACATCTTCTCTTCTTGCCCCACTCCCAGCTTGGCCATCACATTAGCGCTCCCCTCAGAAGAGCCACTAGGCTAATGTACTACCAGTTCTCTCCTCAGACACACCCCCTCCCAGTTTCCTGGAGCTGTTCATGCATCACATTCTTCAGGAGTGTAGTAAGAGGCTAGAGACAAGGGACCCAGTCGTTTTATTGACGCAATCTCATGCGGGGTTTAACCATCATTTAATCCAAGGTGTCCATTCCAAAAGTGTCAGCAGTGACATTCATTTGACTGACTCTGAATGACATTCAGAGTCATTCATGAATAACCAAACAAACCAAGCCTTTGCAGTAGCAGAAAGGTTCTGTTCACTCCCCAGCACAAACCTGCCTTTAACTGAATTAATTTGAGAGGTGCAAGGACCACACACAAAGCCCAGATTACAGAGTATTTCCCTTCCAGTTTTAGGAAAATGTTTTTACTCATGTGAGGATAATGAGAGACTTCAGCCAAATACCAAGGTGTGTCTCTTAAAGCCATATCTTAGCCTAACCAGGGAGGGTTACTGCATTCTGCCTCCTTCATACATTCAAAATAAGAGCTCCACCTTGTCTCTCGAATATCCTGGGACCCACACAGCTACAACACCACTGCATACAAGACTGGGTGAGGCAATATCTTTCATTGGGCCAATTTTTGTTGGTGAGAGAGACAAGCTTACACAGAGCTCTTCTTTCAGGTCAAGAAGAGCTCTATGTAAGCTCAAAGCTTGTCCCACTCACCCACAGAAGCTGTAACGTTTCTATTAGACCCTCACTCCCCTGGTCTCTCTAAATTCCCATTCTGAACAGCTGCTAAAGGGTAATTGAGGGCTGACAGGAGTTGAGACAGGTTGTCATTAGACAAAATGACATTTAGTGGAAAAAGCCTCGAGCAACTTGACCAGTGATCTCCAAAATTTAAGATACTAACTAAAGATGAGGGGAGAGAGATATGATCTTATGGATAAGTTTAGCAACCATATAGAATACTTTAAATGTTGTGGATGAAAAACTCTAGAGGAGCAGAGCATTTTACAAGTGTTGGTTTGCCCATAGTAAACTTGCTGTCTTTGAATGACTGTACATACAACAAGCTCCTCCAATAATTTCACCCACTACTGAAACTCTATCACCTCTGAAATGGAATAGCAGCTTGTTTAACAGCACTCAGACAGAGGTTTAGGAAAGGAAGAGTACCCAGCCAGTTATTTCAGACCACAGTAATAATACAGCCTCACCAAACAAGCCTCAACCAAACTTACTAATTAAGTCTCCTTTAGAGAGAAATTGGTTGCTATGAAAGGATGCTTGTCAGAACACTAGAGTGCCTGTTAAATTATCAGGAGTAATCACCTAGGAAATAAAGTTGGGATGAACAATTGTTTTCTTCCCTCCCTTATTAGCTTTATGGAGCCAAGACAGAAGAGGGGTTTCCCCCGCCTGCTTTCTTCTTTCAGAAGAAGAGTAAATGTAGAGCTCGCACTTTAGCTGTGAGCCTTACTTCCTGCCCCCCAGATATGTTGGCAACACATAACTCTCCTTTTTTCTAAATGTTAATATCCCTTCAAGAAGCAAATTAAAGGGATAATACAGAGTAGGCAGCCTGCAGGAAGAAAAGATACTTAATAAGCTCTTGCAGTTAATCCCACCCAATTACTAAACACCCACTCACATCTAGTGTTAGAGTACTAAAATAAACCATTAACTATGAAAGCCTCTTTATTTATTGTGTCACACAGCAATAGCTTGAATACCTCATTAAAAGGAATACAGCAATTTACTCACCTTCTTTGTTGTTCTGCTATCCCACAGAAACTCAACCACACCTGTAAAGCTAAGCAAGCCCCCTCTCTAGCTCAGCCTGTCTTTAAAGGGCCCTGAGTGCTTGGGAAAAGTGGTTTTGATTGGTGGGGTGTCCAACACATGAGAGGAGCCTGTTTCTAGCCAAACCTGTTCCTGGGTTGGGAAGGGAGCAGAAGGTGTCTATTTGATTCTCTGATTGTACTGGAATGTGGTTGTACTGAAAATACACACACTAAAGTGTTTCCATTATTATAGTCTATTGGGGTGGACAAGTGACTCACTCCTATGAGATCTCTGAACTTTAGAAAGGATGGGTGAATAAGTACATAAATATGAATATTACTGACTGATGAACTGTTGTTTTAATGACTATTCGGTATGTCCAAAGAAAATGCTCGGACTGGAAAGGAGAGAAGGGTTTTTTAACAAATGTCTTCACATAATCCTGTCCTGAAAAAAGGGCGGCGGGGGAAGAAAGAAAAATCCCATCAAATTTGGCTTGCACCCTGCTCTCTTTCTTTATGGTCCATAAAGAAGGCATGAAAGATAGGTGTGTTTGTTCGATCTTTTTTACATTAGAAATTCAGGTTTTACCTACCCTAGAAGATTCTAAATGCCAGAAGCTGGGAATGAGCGACAGGGAATGGATCACTTGAGGATTACCTGTTCTGTTCATTCCCTCTGGGGCACCTGGCACTGGCCACTGTCGGAAGACAGGATACTGGGCTAGATGGACCTTTGGTCTGACCCAGTAGGG